ACCCCCCCCCACCCCATCGCCTCCCGTGGCGTATTTTACAGGCAATTAGGATTAACAACAGTTTATCTGTCCTGAGCCATGTGGGCTTAAACAAACCCCACTTCCATTGTGTATCAGCATGAGTAACATGCTCCCTGCCTTCCCAGTAGCTGCATTTTCTGAGCAATCTCCCCCCAGGATCACCACGGGTTATTGAGCTTGCTCAGAGGCGTGGGGCTCCTGCGGGACTTATCCCATCAGCAGGATGCATTTAAATGGCAACTAGAGCAAATCCGTGTGAGGTGCCTGGGGCTTGTCCAGCACCCAGTCCCTCGAGGAGCCGCTGGGGGGTCAGGAGGTTTTTAAAGGGTAAAGAAATAGCTGTTAGCGCTGGGCACATTCTTGCATTTGAAGAACATGGGGCTTAACAGCCAGGTGACTCAAGCAGCACAAGAAGTTCACAAAAAACTTTGCTAAAGGTTTTGAAATCCCACCCGAAGGCAGCCCTGGACAAAGAAGGGCAGCACTGCTGGAGAGACCGTCCATGTCACTGCGCTGGAATGGGCTTGGTGCCCAGCGGTGCCACACTGTGGGGACCAAGGGAAGGGGCCAGACTGGGACTTTGGTGGTGAAGATCACCATAAGCCATGTGATTTCCATGGGCATTGGTGGCCTTTTCAGGCTGGGTTTGGAGGGGTCCCATCCTGGACATGGCACCCACTGCCCCGGGGCTGCTCCTAGGCAGGCACAGGAGATGTGTCCTCTCCAACAAACATTTCTGTTGGAATAAATGGCATTTAACTACTTCTTTTCCTATTTCTTGCTAGGCAAACATACTCCCTCAAGCCACTCCAGCCTCAGGTGAGGTTCGGGTTGCCCTGCACAGCACTGGGTCTGCCAGTGCCAGGGGCAGCCGAGACCCTTCCTATAATCATATCTCTGTTAATTGCCCAAATATCCTGGGGCCTGGAAGCGTTGGCTGTGGCCTCCTGCTGCTCTCAGAGGTACTGAAATGAGAGCACATCACCTTCAAAACGTATGTTGAAAGCCGTGGTGGCCGCGGGCTCCTCCGCGAGGAAGTCGATCCTGATGGAGGAGCCGTCGCTGATGACCCCTTCGAAGGGCACGCTGTCGGCACGCAGCGAGTCGTAGAGGACAGCAGACTGGTTCGTGTCACCACTGTACACCACCATCCTGCACGGGAGGACACAGCATGTTACATGGGAGAAGCGTCCCCGTGCCCCCCCGCCAGAGCACTGCCCGGTCCCTGCTCCTTTCTAGCACCTGCCCTCTGGTGATTCTGGAATAATTCATCAACCAGATAAGTCTCTTACACTTTGTCATAAACAGGGCTTTTATTTGATTTCACTACAAGCCATGAACCTGCTTTACTGCCTGTTACCAGACTGAATGTTAATGCTCTTTAAACACAAGCACCAGCGCCACAAGTGTATGCTTTGTTACGGGTGCGTGGGGCTTGCAGCTTGTCGTGGCGCTGAGCACTGCTGGGCACTGGGCATTCGTGGGGAGGAGAGGACAGGCATCAGGAGACCAGTAAAATCACCAGGCAAGAAGCTCAGGGCCTGGGGATGGCAAGGGCTGGAGCTCTGCACCTGCCTCTTGCAGCTCTTTTTGCTCCAAGATGTGCCATGCCTCCTGAGCACCTGAACACCTAAATCAGAAACCTCTGCACCAGGACCCATCTCTGATCCCATCCCCACCATCCTTCTGCTGGCAGCCTCCTCTGTGCTGCACCCTGAGCTCAGGTGGGTGCTGCCCACTGTGACACTGGCAGCCTAGGCGCCGGGCGGGCAGGAGGTGTGAGGAGAAGCAGCTGAGACCAAGCTTTGGTACATTCAGCAGCATCACGCGTGGCTCCGGACTCACCTGTCCTTCTCGGTGAGCAGGAGCTTCTCGAAGTGGAGGTGCAGCTTCTGTCCCGGGGGGGCCCCGATGGTCCACACGCAGTACATGCTGCTCGACTGGTTCCCGGTGTAGCTGGGCGAGAGGACGCGGCCGATGGTGGCGTTGTGGACCGTCCCGCCACAGGGCGCTGCCGACACAGAGCACAAAGAGCACGGCCCGGCTGAGGCAGCGAGGAGACAGGGCACGGCCGAGAGCGCGGCGGGCGTTTGCACCTGGGGCTTCCGCACCACAGGTGAAGTGCTCCTCTCTGCTTGATGGAGAGCTGACGCCTGCCCTTCCCACCAGTTTTAATTCATGAACTTCAAGCCTGGCTGGGCTTTGCTCTGTTCCATGCTCAAACACGTATGCTCACACATGTAGATGCAATCTATGATTTCCTTTCCTCACCTCCTAATCAGGAGCCAGACTCTGCTGCCACTGATGTGAAAACCTGCAGTAGCCTGGGCTGCCCCGTGCACAGAGCTGGGCATTGCTTCCACTTGCTCCCAGGACCGCATTCGACTCACGGTGCAAAGAAAACTACTTTTTTTTTTCTTCTCTTTGGGGACCCCAATTTTTTCAGCACCGAGGCTACCTAACGAGGAGTGTACCTGAGCAGATTGGCTCTGGGCTGCTCCAGTGTGGCCGCGATGCGTTGATACACGTAAGCATCCTGGGACCCTGCAGCTCGTAGCCCAGGTGACAGTGAAAGTGAGCAATTCCACCCGAGTGCAAATCCATCACGGTGACGTCTCCAAAGTCAGGTCTCCGTGGAAAGTTGCAGCTCAGCATAAACACTGGAACAAGCACACACGTTGTGGAGCTTAGGGCTTGTTTGTTCTGAGTCACCCTGCAGTTGAGGCGGGGCACTGAGGACGTGATGGATGTCCCCACGGTGCCACCAACGGACCCCGCTGCTGGGTGCTGGCCACGGAGCACCGACAAACCACTGCACCACTAGCAGCTTCTCCACCTGTTACTGCTTTTGCCCAGATCTAGTTTCTATTTTTAAAAGAATTTGCTTGAACTCATCTATCTTTTATAGCTCTTCAAGGAAAAAATAGACTTGCAGTCGGAGTGTGTGCAGGAAGAGCTGCTGCACAGGGACAGAAGCGGGGCAAGGTGGGTGTGAGGAGTGCACCCAGCGCTGGGGTCCACGACGACGGTGCCTGTTGAACCTGGGGCACGACATGAGCTGCTGCTCAACCCATCGCAGCTGACGCTCCGAGCACGGGCAGACAGCAAAGCAGGAGCCCGGCTGCTCTGAGGGGCAGAATCCAGCATCCTTCCACCCCTGCCGCCCAGTGGGGCTGATCCCTGCAGGACTGACGCCCCATCCCACCCCTCCTCATGCACCCATGACGGTGAGGCACCCACCCTGGTAATGGAGCTGGAAGGTCCCCACCACCTCATCCTGGAAGGTGCGGAAGTAGACGGAGATGGTGTTGGTGGGGCTGCGGATGACCTGGCCCTCTACCAGCAGGGTCTGGTTAGCCAGGACCACCAGGGCATCGCCGTCCACCCCTCGGATGGACAGGACCTCCCCGTCGGACAGGTTCACGCTCTTCACCTAGGTGGAAGCAGAAACCCATGAGGTGTGGGGTGAAGGTGGGGGTCCTGGCGGGGGTGCCAGGGGAGCAGACATCCCACGCAGAGCATTGCATTACCACAGCCTTCCCTCTGTACCGCCCTGAGCACTGGGAGCGCCATCAGGAGAGCATCTGCTTGTTCAGCAGCGATGGAGCAGCCTGCGCCCCGCACAAGCCCGAGGGACCCCCAGGACCACTGACCCCTTCTCCCTCCCCTGGGACAGTGGGCACAGGCGGGCCGAGCCGCTCCT